TTCTACTGTTGCTGAACTTCAATATTTGTGCAGTCCTTAGTCAAAACATTCAGTCTGGCTTCTATATGAAACGATCCTAACGAGCAAAAACAACACACACACAGAAATTATTTTTATCACAATGAGTATTTCCATATTCTAAGCAGGAAGCACATTGTTTTACCGCCATACCACTCAGTTCATTCTTTATAACAAATAGTAAATGGACTTTACTTATATAGCTCATTTCTATCTTATCAAGATACTCAAAGCTCTTTACAACACAATCTGTGCCCTCATTTACCCATTCATACAGCACTCTACTAGATCTGTACAAAGATTAATCAGAGCTTTATCACATCCATGCACTGATTGGACACACATCAGAGGCAATGAGGGGTTCAGTGTCTTGCCCAGGGACACTTCAGCATGTAACTGCTGGTGGACGATAATACAGGTTGTAAATAATTAAATTTGTGCATAAAATACATCATCCTGCTGAGATAGTTCCTTGAGGCTGTGAGGAGAGGATCACGTTTCTCAACATTCAATAAAAACAGCAACATATTTTTTCCAAAAATGTCTAGCTCCAATTTTTCTTCGCTCATTAAAAAAAAAAAATCCTTATCTTTGAAGACGTTACGTTGAAGTAATAGTAAAGTAATAAATGCATGAAAAACACTCAGGAACAAGCCCCACTTTCACTGTTTGATGTTTTCTCAAAATCCATAAATATTCCTGGAAGCAGATATCCAGCTGTTGAACCCAGCTCATCTTACATTTCTTAACGCCCGTCAAATTTTGCTGACAGAGTAGAATTATGGGGCATAATGACATGACCTAGTTACAGGATTTTTTTTAAGGGATCTGCTGAATGATGTAATTCTTTTATTTCATTGCTCCATTTCAAGCATTTTTCACTGCCTAAGGGTGTGAAGTATCATATCTGTACAGCCTTTTCTGTGCTGTTCTTCTCGTCACTGTCTTTTCTCAGCCTGAATGTGGAGAAAGCTGCTTTGACTGAATAAATTCTTAGTGGGGTGCAATTACAGCCTGGCCCTTGTACGGTAAAAGAGGCAGTGATTTACTGTTAACAGCTATGACTTTATCAGGCAAGGATGTGATTACAGCAGAAAAACATCAGCTTTCACAGGCTCGTCTTCATAAAAAGAACATTGTACAAAATAGGTGACTCTTTTAAATCAATACAAATAGTAGCTGTACATATAGCTTTTAAATATTATCACATACGTGTGTTCATTTTGTATTTTGCCCATGCTATTCTTTCTACAGCCTTGAACCTTGAAAAATATGAAGAAATAAAGGTTAATTTTGACTGGACTGACAAGCTAACTGTAATCGTAGTTAATCATGTAATGATTATAATCATGTTAATCATGATAAGTAATCATGTTAAGACAAAAGTGGATTGCTGCTGTAGTAAAAGCAACTTGGATAATCAAACTTTCATAGTAGTTCATGCAAAGCTGTTTTCTCTTTACATGGTTCTATTTGTAGGCTTCTGCATCCCGAGGCATTTCCAGCAGAAATATCATATTTCTGCTGAAATTATTATGTCAAGTGAGCATGACAGCAATATAAAGATTTAAAAGATATGAACCACTAGATGTTTTTGAAAGTTACGTTGTTTTAAGATGGCAGCAACCAACTATGTTCAAGGCCCTGCGGCCTAGCTGTTAGCTTGTCAGTGCAGTCAGAGTTAAACTTGATTTATCCAAACTGTTTGTTCAAAGAAACCTGATGTGTTTTCCTTCTTGGGATATGCAGTTACCCTCCAGGATTTTATAGCATTGTTGTACATATATCAGTTTAGATTGTGCTTTTCATAACAAACACATTTTTGCCAATTAACACAATGAGAAATGCATAGAAGATGTGAATTAAAAAAAAAAAAACCAGACTGTGTTTTAAGACCAACAACAGGCTGTCTTTAATAAAATCCATATGATATAAGGTTGTAGAACAAAGTGGAGCTTGGAAAACGATTTCAGGTTGTTTGATATGTGTTTTTATGTTTGTATGTGTTGCAATAAAAGTGGGGGAGGGTGGCAAAGAGGCCAGAGAAGGTGGGCCTCTGACCAGAAGGCCCTCAGCACTACTCCTCGGACAGATAACATCAAAATGTGGCTGGGAAAGGTGAAACACCCTCACCTGGGCCCCCAACCCCCACCATATGCCCCAGTCACCCCCAGATGTCAGCTCTCTGCTGGGTTGCGGAAGTCATATATTGTCTGTGTGTCAGGAAGGGCATCGAGAGTAAAATCAATCACCAAGTCTTCATGCGAGTGAGTTAGCTGTAGTGACCCCTTTGGAAGGGAGCAGCCGAAAGAAGAAAAACTTGATTTTTAATGTCGCAAAAGAAGATTCAACTGAATCATAGAATTGAACTCTAGAGAAGCTCAGAATTATATTTAATTTTTTTATCTTTTTTATCAATTTTATGTTCAAATAGAATACAAATGTAAGGCTTTTATAGCTATTGGCTATGTTGTCTGTCTAAACCATGTCTCTCTTGAAAATGAGTCCTCGTGACTTAATTAATTAATTAATTTTACTTACTGTGTAAGTAAAATTTAAATAAAACAGAACTTCAGCTAAAGCTGTTTCCACTATCTAGGTACAGTATCTTCCAAAGTACGGTTGGGTGGTACTAAAATATATTGTCACTTCTAAACTCACATTCTCCAGAATCACATGCACACTGAGGATCCTTTAGAGAAGCATTTTGGCCTGAATTGCAGGGTCTCACAGTGTGATGCTCTGCTGCCTCTAAAAGGCTTTTTAATCAAATAACATCCTGATTGAACTCAGTGGGACTTGATTTTAGCTGTGGAAGTTGTCCCACAGAAGTAGTTAGCAATATTTAGTCTGAACTGAAGTGACTTTGACTGGTCTGGACAGGGTCTCCTTGCTGTGGTGGTGTTGGTGCAGGGGAGTTGTCCAGCGTTGAGACTCTGCTGAAAGAATTTGTCACCGAGCTGACATTTAATCAGCTCTGTTAGAAAGCCACTGGTGTTTATTCTGACTTTTGCTCAGTGAAAGCAACAAGTTTGATGAAATCTAATGCATATCGGCAACTTATTACTTGAACACAAAGCTTGTTTGTGCAATTTTAATCAAAAAGTTAAGATTGCTTTAGTCATCTTTGGACTGCATTTGGTTTTCATGATATAAATATCTGCAGTATTTTTGATTCGGTGATTGAATTCGTCATGACCAGGATGAATGATGCCAGAGTAAAGACGTTGAATGTCTGAATGGATCTGTTGCTGAGTGGTTTTAGCTCATCTCTCCTTGTGGTTCTGTGTAGTAGTCTGATGTTCCTTTGTGCGGCTGGATTAAATCCTCAACTTGCAGCCACTTACAGGATGAGAACACTTCACAGTCAGTTCACCTCATTTCATCTCATTCACTAGATTGTCCGACCAGCAGCGGCTCTCACAGACATCTTAAACCTTTTAAAAGGGGATTAGGCTGAAGTCTAAAGTAATTCATATTTTGTATTCTGCCTACTGCTCATGTGATCCACTTATATCAGCAATGATTCAAAACCTCCTGCCTGGAGGAAGCAGCTAATGAATGAATCAATGAGTAACGCTCTCAGAATGGCACTTTTCTCACTCTTGACTGTGAAAATAAATCCTCCTTTCATGCAAACAAAAACTGGTTAATGTTACCGCAGTCTTCTTCAGCCAATGACTATTAAATGCTCTGATTCTATTATTTCTATTAGCAAGTCAGTGTCATTTCTGACGTTTCAGAGGAAACTAGACTGTTTCAAATACAGTAGTTTTTATACACAACCTCACTATTGCTGACACACGTTTGAAAGACGAAAAGATAAACATAAAGGGAGAAAAAAAGTCACACACACACACACACAAGGAGTCGTCTAAGACAGGTAGAGATCGGAAGGTCAGAAATGACACTGACTTGCTAATAGAA